CTTTAGCCTCCAAGAAATTGGTTTGCATTTATCGTAGGGGTTTTCTTCTTGGTATGTTATGGTCGAGTTGTCCTACTCGCGTTTTTTAAAAATCATTGGCTTGACTCATTTCTAAACAAGGCTTTTGCTAGGCTTGATACACTTTCTATCTATAGCCTGCAGCGAATTCGCCATCCTTCTGTTAGTCATTGTTCAATGTTAATATTTTTATTCTGGCGAAGAAGATTATTTATCTACCGAAATTTGCACAACCATTTTTATTGAGATGCCTGCATAATTTCTAAGATACGGGAATTTAATACAATTATTTTGACCACATTTATTTTATTTTTCCAAAAATTGGTCGTCTCGATAATAGTTAATGCCTTGTGGAGTTTGGGGCAGATTTAAAGTAGAGTTTATTTTAAGCGTAAATTTGCTAGTATCAAAATAAAGACAAAGCAATAACTTATAACCTATCTTTAGTATGCTGGTGATGTTCTTCCTAATACTAATGGGCTCCAGTTGTAATTGATTGATTAAAATGGGTGGATCCTCAGTAAAATGATAAGATATTTCATGATGTTTGAGCCTCAACCAGTCGATTGGCTTTGGATGGTTAGGGCTTGCTTTTTAAATGCAGTGTCAAGTATCATTCCTTCAACTATGTGTCTATGAGTGTGGCAATGCTAGTAACTTTTGGTACCAGAGGAATTGGCGGCAGACGAATGATGGAAAATGAATAGCGTATAAGTGAGGCAACAATGCTCCATACTTGTTTTGACACGCTCTCTTACATTTTCATTGGGGACATGTACAAGTTATTAACTCTCCTTTCATAAAAGTATATTTTTAGGCTTTTTTCGTACATAACCTGATCATTACTAAAGCATAAATGGATATATATAAAGACCAAGATGGTGTGGCCTCTTGTATGGTCGCATTCTCCTTTCGACCTCGTCGTAACTTGGTCTTGTTGTCAGGGTGACTTAGTAGAACGCACCTAGTCCGAAGTCGTCTGTCATAGTAGTTGTCATAATTCCCAGCATCAGACAGTGGACTTAGTAAAATCTCAAAACGTTTCGCTGGCATCGTAGTCGGCATCATCAGTGAGTCTTGCCATTCTCAGCAAGTCTCAGGCAGATATGACTAAAAGCAATGTAATGTAAGACCCCCTCATTCTATTGTTTGATTTTCCACTGTCGGTCTTTAACTCACTTTAAGCCGCCTATGGTTTATAAAGTTCTTATTTAAGAAGTACTAATAGTTTCGCAACAGACTCGTGTAGAAACTATCAGATAGAACTTAGCTAAACCAAACCCGGTCAGTTGGCGGTTTTATGGGCTTCTTTTGTTTCTTAAAATATTTTTTTAACTGAAGAAGTTACGAAACAGTGATGGATGATTATCTCCATCAGTATAGATAATGAATATGCTGAATTTGAGGTAGTAAAGTATTCATCCACTGAACGCTGACCCGAATCCACTGTTTATTTCCCTAGATGCTAGACCTTGACTACTCTAACTAAACCCCATCATTGTTTATCCTTTTACACGCTATTGTAATCTCACATAAAGAATCCTGCCAAGTTAAATAATGGTAAGCGGTTGGAAAAATTGGAAGAAGACTTGGGTTGCGATCGTCTATTTTGGATGGATAGCGTTAAAATGAGTTTGCAATTCAGGAAATACTTCAGCTTTAGTTCAGATCACTGTGCTGACCTTTAAACGAACTTGAAGGATACTTTTGACGAATTCAAAGTAAACGCGTCATTTTAAGTCAATATCTAAAATATTTCACGCGGCTTATTGTAATTTATATAGAAACTAAAGAAAAATCATTAAGGAATTCATCTTTTTTAATCATAGAAATATCTAAAACTGAGGGTTTGATTGCTCTTGGAGACGATCATTTTAACGTAATTATAGAGGAGTGCTATAGTCAATACAAGCCAAGTAGAATCAATTCCTTTGTAGTACCGTTTTGCAATCGGCTTTTGGGCATATGGCCGCATTTAAGTAAACCATTGTTGAAAGAGTTATTGGAGGCGAGAGAAAACAGGCTTGTTTTCTTGCTCCTTTGTTGAAATGTAGGATAATTAGCCTATGATAAAAGTTTTAACTCTTCGTACATAATTATTAGCTTTGATGGGTTTAGTTTAGACCTCATAAGATTAGAGTCAGGAATCCTCTTTATTATGTAGCAAAATCATAGCGGCTCGTGACAGAACACACGAAAAGCACGTCTGGCACGATCCCACTCAATGAATATTATTTAAGTTAAACTCCTTTTGGACACGTTCTTGCAGCCTCTGACTGCTCTTTATATTGTGCTGTGAGGACTCTGCATCAGTAACGGGTCTGTACCCCTTCTGGCGACCTTATAATTCCAAGAGGACACTGCTCATTGCTTAATTTAAATATTCACCTTCCAAGAGAACTTCCATCTTCGGTCCAGTCATAAAAAACAACTGTGCATGACCGGCTAGCCTGACAGGAGATCTGAAAGTCTTCTCTTGTCCTGGACATACAGAGGATTTGGTTTCCCTTTGAACTGGGGCTCGGCCTTCGAGATCCTTAAGCTACGACAGTACCGTATAGAAATTAACCACAATTGTAGGAATCCTTGAGTCGGGCTGGCGGATATCGTCTCAAAAGGCTATGATTGAGTCCCCTATTCCCTCTAAACTCTCGAGTTATCAACGAAAGTCAACCTACCCTCTTCCTCTCTTCTCATAGAACAACTGCCTTTCTGATAATGGTGTACCTTTCATTTCGTTTGAGAAAACGGATCGAAGGGATTCGTAGATTGGCCTTATTCGATACTGAAGAAGGGTTGCCTTAGCCTTTTGTCTATTGAATTGTGTGAAGAAGACCTCGGCTCACCGTCCTACTACCTCGATAACTCCGTGCTGAGTTATTGTCCGACGGACGAAATGAAAGATACGCCAGTATCAACCTATTAAGGGATTCTTCGAAACCTAACTTCTCTCTTATTACTTGACTTTCTCTTTTTCTCCGGTTCTTTCTCTTTCCTTGGATGGATTAGAAAAAATATAAATCAATTACACTGGTCACATATAAATCCTCCACTTGAACAGTGCATGTAATGAGTCACAATATTTGAGTGCCATTATATGACGCCATAAGACGATCACATAGAAGTTGCGCATTTGGATTGTGTCTGTTTACAGTTTTGCCTCCCTTACTAGTTGGATATCTTTTTATCTATGCTATTCGCGTTTTCTCAATTTATCTTGCCTTATTGCATCGTTGGCAGACAGATCATATATATACATTGTTGGGGTCGTTGGGGGTGGTAGAGAATAGATTTTAAAAAACTTAATTTTTTCTGCTAATTCACCTTATTTTTATATTACAGACGTGCCTTTATAGTAGACTTCCGTTTTTGCCTCACTTTGAGCTCACCATTGCCCTTAATGGCATTCAAACTCAGGTTCTGCGTTATGCGTTCCTCATTCTTTTTGGAAAAATGTCAAATAGATGAGAGATTTTCAGAACAGCGGAAATTAGTTTCATATTTACCTCCTCACAAAGTAAGTATTGCTTAGGAAAACTTGCGTCTTTTCGGTTTGATTATGTACTTTTCCAGGGCATAGCAGTAGGCTTTTATCCAACTCCGATGGTCTGCACTTGATCTTCGTTGAGCTGACTTTGTCTCAGAAGCGTGTTCGTGTTTTCAGAGGGACCTGCTTTGGAGCATCTTATCCGAAGTCCTCTGTTATACTTGTTGTGGTACTTATCAGCATCGGCTGTCGTCTTCTGTTTAGATCGACCTTCGAATCTCTTCATGCATTTTCATACAAAATGGAAGTCTCCCCAACAATGTTATTTTAGGAGACTCATCGAAACCCCGTTACTCTTTGGATCCCAGCATTTAACCGTGGACTTTGTACATTCCTAGACGTTTCACCACCATCGCCAGTGAGTCTAGCCATTCTTAGCACCAAGCTATAACTCGTCAAAGAAACAAGTGAAGTCAATTCCTTGGCCAACTTTCTACCGAACGACCACAATCTTTGGATCTTCATATCCACCGGCTTTGTTTTGTTTTTAAGTTTATGATCAAGTAATTCATGAGTCGACCTGACTATAAGCAGACCAATGATTACTCTTGTTCTTCTGGTGTTTAGGTTGCCGTATTCCTCAAGGCATCCTCCTTCGGTTCCAGAGCATATGTTCTGGGCTTTCGTCTATCATGTCACCTAACGAAATTCATTCAAATTACTGCTCATCCTTACAACGTAAGTGTTAAGTCGCCATAAAAAGAGTTCCAGCCCTAACTATTCACCATCGAGTTATAAAAGGAAGATGGTTTACCTTTTCTTGATGTCCTAGTTAGCAGAGGGGACCAGATTAGGTAGAGATGTGAATAGGAAACCCACAAATGCAGATTTTCACTTGAATTTCTTCTCCAACCACACTTATAGGGTTAAAGTAGAAGTTAAGTTATGTGTGATAATAAGGGGCTTAGAACAGAATAGCTTAGAATTAAATAGAATAGATTAGAATAGTATAGAAAAGCTTAGAATAGAATAGAATAGCTTAGAATAATAGAATAGATTAGAATAGAAGATAATAGAATAGCTTAGAATAGAATAGAATAGAATAGAATAACTTCGAATAGAATAGCTTAGAATAGCTTAGAATAGAATAGAATAGCTTAGAATAATAGAATAGCTTAGAATAGCTTAGAATAGCTTAGAATTATAGCAGCATGTAAGACGAAAGCTCGGTACATTTTCACCGGAACCGAAAGGAGGATGCTCCTTGTACTTGACAGCTTAGACTTCCCAGTAAAATAAGCCGTGCTATTTTGGCTTCAGATGTGTATAGTTGTTATATGTATCAGATAATAATGCTTTAGATATCAGCTGTCATCAAAATTAGGGGCAATCTATTTCTCATCTCCCCAATCCGCAAATAATTCTCAACTTTCGCTCCTCTTCTTTCTCCGTCCTCTTTGCGTGCCTTTTTCCCTCAGCCATTTCGCCGCTGTCAATGCTCGATTGGCTGGTGAACCAGATTCGACGCCTTCGTGTTTTCGTGCGCCGCAAGCGCAGTCCGCCTCATTCTACCGATAGCCTGCTCGTCTCGCCTATTTCCAGACGGCCGAAGAAAAGCCCACATCACCTGCAGCATCCCCAACAGACCTACCTCTCCGGTAGTCTGGTTTCTCCAGGCCGGCTCTGGCCACCGCAGCATAGACAAAATCTCAGCGGCTTCCAAACCTCTGCCAACAAACCAGTTGCCAACCGATGTGGCCCCCTCCAGCGGCCGGCCAGTACAGCTGAGGCTTCAGCTTCTGGAGCCGGGCTTTGGCCTGCCGACCGACAGATCATATACGATCGCCAGTTGTCTGCACCGGTAGATTGCATCCCTTTGCTGCAAAACTTTAACCTCTTCATATTCTACATTACTCTGGGGACCTATTAGTCCCTGTTGCTGAAACTTAAGACTGTTGTTGTTTTCAATCTCCACCTAGATCATAAAGGTCTTCCGTTTTATAATTTACTGTAGCTATTAACCTATTTAATATTACTTCTGCTTTTATATTTAAAACTATAGGTACTGATATATAAAGACTGGGAGCCCCGTATAAATGTCACAATGACTATCCAAAGTCCGATAGATGAACTGACCGCGATTAAATATGGAAATAAATTCATTATTCCATTGTACTTCGATGGACTTTGCTTCCCAAGGCGCTTTGTATTTCTCTTCTCTTCGACGTACCTTCAGTGGCCATCTTATTCATAATAAACTACCGATTGTTTAAATGCTACTAAGTAGTTTATTAGTAGCATTCTCTGACTTATTTTCACTGGATAACATCTCTGTTACAAAGGCTGATCAATAGAATTTGTCTTGCCCCTTAAGTCAAACCTAGCTCATAACTAACTGGCATTCAGGCCATCTGGCTCAATACATTTTCACTTCTTGTTGATAATCCAGTTTCGAGTATCGCAGAGATTCGATGGTGGAACTGTAGAGAGGGTGAAGCTACAATCGTCAATGAATTAGAAAGCTGTTCGGAACATAAAGTTAGATGCACTTCCAAGGTCGGGTGTGACTTTATCCCTATTTCTTCACAGCCAGCTTAGCTATCTTGCCTTAGATTGCCAACACAGATTACTTTGGGCATTGTTCTCTAAATAAAATTTTTAGGATAGTCTTTTTTTAAATCAAGAATATATATTTATAATTAATTATTTTTTCTATAGAATAAAATACTGTGTTTCGGAAAATCCTTTAATAACTTCATGTTACTGGACTTTTTATTTTTTATGAGCAGTTGAAGTGTGTAAGTTGGCTTTATCAAAACTCAAATGAACAAGCCCTTCAAGTTGAAATTGTTGGTTTGATCGTATAAGTCCTCGACATACCATCCTCTAACCTCGATGAATCCATGTTCGGCCTTCCCTTGTCATGGTGTGTCCTTTTGTATGGTCGCGGTCTCTTTTCGTTGTATAGTAGTTGTTTGACCATGTTTTCGCAACTTGGTCGTATTGGTAGGAAGATTTAGAGGAACGCACCTAGTCCGGAGTCCATAGTGTACATGATCATTTCCTGAGTCGGACCCTGGACTTGGTACATTCCTAGACGTTTCGCCAAGATCGTAGTCGGAGTCGTCAATAAGCTTTGCCACTACAACTCGTCAAAGAGACAAATGAAGTCGATCCTTTGACCATTTGTCTGCTAAACAGTTGTGGTATCTCTTCTGTCCTGGGCTATTCACCTACCTTATATCCTCGTACCACCCCTTCATTACCACTATTTCTTAGTTGTTTATTTAAATGTGATATTGTGTGCCATTTTAAATGTATTTCAGGATACCTCTTCATACCCCACACTGGCTTTCTCACCTCACCCCCCTGTCATTGTGCTGCGAACGTTGATCTGAGTCTGTCATAATATTGCGAAATCCTTTTCCCATAAGTCCTATTAGAGTCTCCCTCTTGCCCCGTAAGATCCATCTCCTATCTTTTTTATTCAGGCATTCCACTTGGCACTTTCCACTATATCTATGTATTTTTCCACACTCTGCCTCAAGACTTTGCTGACACGTGTACTCCCGCCTCATTGAGTAGGCCGACAAAGTCTGGATTCTCAAACTGGATGGAAGACAAACTTGAAGCTATAGATCCCGAGTAATTCTCATCGTCAAGCCTTTGCTTCATGGACCACTTATATGATCAAACACTCCTATTGTTAGCCAACCAGCTCTAGTCTTTGCCGCATCTATCGTCCTATCCATAGTGCCAAGTCTATAACTTCCTATGCCCTAGTTTCTTGTGTGCTAATCCGAAAGTGATGTGGTTCTACTTGTTTTGATTAGGCTCATCGTAGACCTCTCGTCTTGGTTTCTGTCGATTTTAAGTTGAATTAGTGTCTCGTCCGTGCATTGCTCTCCGCTATTTCGGATCTTTAGTATCCATGTTTTTGCAGAGTATTTGATGTTCTTTGATTCGTAGGCCGATTTTTCTTCCTGTTTCATCAATATTCTTCTGTTCACAGTTGTCGCATTTGATGCGATAAACTTCCGGGCAATCAAGTTTGTCCGTCTTCTCATGTTGCGTCGGCAGACTGGTGAAAAGTGTTTTCTTCTCCTTTCTTATCACCTTGATATTCCATTTCCTTAGTAATGGTCGCAATTGTTGACTCAGTCCTGATGAGGGCAGTCAAATCCACTTTTGGTTGTCATCCTGATTCATGATCTGATTTTTATAAAATCCAAGTTCAAATCGGCCCTTTATAACCTCTACATTTTATTCTATAAATTCTCTGCCGTATCCGCAAATCCGTGTCAGTTTTTCCAACTCTTCGTCCGATAGTCATATTCTTCTGATGATCAAACTCCTCAGTATTCCGGTCTTCAGCCTGTAGTTATGACGAGACTGAAAATTAAGGATTATTCCTGCATATGAATTCTTTCTGTATAGTCTCCTCATAAGTGTCCCTTTGGAGCGCATGACTTCAATATCCAGAGAGGGTAGTCTTTCATCCTCCTCCACCTCCATTGTGAATTTAGTTCTTTCATCCTGCTAATTTTTTCATGTATGCATTTGCTACAAGAGGCGAGAGTAGAGATCCCATCGGTAGTCAAAATATTTGCTCGTATATACTGCTGTTAAATGTAAAAAAGGTGGCCCTTAGTGTTGGGGTGATCAGTCGTGCTAATTACTTCTTTCGTATCCGTTCTGTCTCCAGAATACTCTCTTCTCGCTCCAATATCTCCAGCAGGGCGCTTACTGTCTGGGAATGTACCAAGTCCAAGGTCCGACGAAATTGTCATGCATACAATGGACTCCAGAGTAGGTGCTTTCCTCCAAGGCTTCCTGCCAATACCACCAAGTTACGAATACGAGGTCAAACGGCTACCATAGAACGACTTAGTGTTTGTTAATGTTTTTTGAGAATGCTTTCTTGCATTGAGATCTCAACCACATGATAAGTAAACGTTGGAAATAGTTCGTCAAGCATAGCTTGAAAAAAAAGCTTCCTTCGGATTCTGGTAATGCTAGCTTACATGACCCTTCCACTCATCGGAATTAACGATACAATTGCATTATCATTTTTCATTTATCAACTAAAATCTTTTGTATAAGACCAAGATGGTGTGGCCTTTTTTGTGGTCGCAGTCTCCTTCCGTAGTATAGAAATTGTTTGACCTTGTTTTCTCAACTTGGGCATATTGGTAGGAAGACTAATAGGAAAGCACCTTGTCCTGAGTACATTGTATGCATAATAATATTCAAGTTCGGACCGTGGACGCGGTACATTCCCAGACGTTTCGCCGGCATCGTAGTCGGCATCGTCAGTGAGTTTT